TCCTGCAGGGAAAGCTGGGGAGAACTGAGCTTCTGCAGACTGATGTTGCCCAAGCACCGCCCAGCAGTGGGAACAGAACAGCTACTGGTGCTCTGAGCTGGGCAGCTTTAGCAAACCCTGCACCCCAGGCTGTCAGCAAAATTCAGTGGTCAGCACGTACACAGCAGAGGTGAGGACTAGCTGCTGGCTCAGATGTTCAGCCACGAGGATGACAGCAGGCCAATGCAAGGCCTGTGTCTGGAATGACTGCTGGATGTCAGCAAATATTGCTGAGCTGCTGCCCATGGGGATGCCCAGCCACCTCCTGTCTGCTGGGGATGTGGGCACCGGCTGTCCTGCACAGCTGAGCCTGCACACACAAACCACAAAGGCAAGGCTCTGGCATGGGGAAGATACCACAAAAAGAGCAATTAGGGCTCTTCCAAAAAGAGCAATCTGGCTAATTATGGGCTTAAAAGTCAAAGGAAATGGAGTCCCAGTTGTGGTTCCAGGGAACAGTGGTGCTGCTGTCAGGGGTGAGGGGGACATGGGTGGCTCCTTTGGGTGACAAATGCCAAGCCAGGCAGCGATGGAGGTGCAGAAAACACTTCCTGGAGTTACCTGATGCAAGCACTGTGGGTCCCTGTGGTCCAGCTGTGCACAGCTTCGATTGATTGTCACTCATTTCCTGAAAAGAGCAGTCCTGCATCTCTTGGATCTTTTGGTGTGCGAGCCATCAAATTCAGATGCCTTTACAATTTTGGGCTGGCAAGGTTTGGTTCTCATCAAGTGAGTAAAACATCCCCCCACATTCAGATTCCGGCCTGGATTCTGCAGGGCCGCTTTAGCAGCCAGCAGCAGGAGTCAGCTGCACATCCTCCCAGCCACTGCCCTCAAGCATTCCCAGCACTGATAAATAAATGTACCTTACAAACTCTGGCAAAGACACATTTAACTGAATTTGAAAAAAGAAACCTTCAGAAATCTCTAGGATTTTAGCCACCAGCACGTAACAGCCTCTAGGATTTTCCCGCCGTGTTACATTTAAAACAATGATTTATTTTCAGAGGAAGAATGTAACCATCAAAAAGTAACTCTCAAGCCGTGTTAATTAGCTGCACAGCCTGCGCTTCAATGTAGGTGATTTCCAGCTACCAACCTTCAAAATGATGGAAGTTTCTATGTGATATCAGCATTCCAATGGGCATCTGCATATAAAATTCATACATTTTAATTTGTGACTGCTCGCTTCAGCTTAAAAATCTCAGGATTTATGACAAACAGCTTTTAGACTGTGCAATGCAGAAGAAAAGCAGAGATTTTTGGTTCAGCTTGTTGATATTTCCTAAAAATACGAAGCAGCTCCAAAAGGCGAGATTTCCTGGCTCGCAGCTGAAGGTCGGCGGTCACGCAGGGAGTGCTTCATGCACACCGAAACGAGGAAGAAGAAAAGACTGGCACAGTATCACAATATAATTAAAAAGTGACTTAAGTGGGGAAAAATGGAGAGGACAGAGACAGGCAAGGACTGCATTCCAACAGGAGAGCCTTCAGAGGGGGCAGAGAAACAACGCTGTTTCCTGCAGCCTGCAGCCCCTGTGCCACTGGAAAAAAGCTCACTTTCCTATGGAAGTTCTCCCAAAGCCTCTCGATGTTTGTAACTCTGGGCACAACACAAGATGTGATGGCACTGGAGAGGTGAGCTCTGTCTCTGCAGCCAGCAGAGGGGGCCCGGTGCACCTCCTGAAATCCCTGCCAGAGCAAAGCTGCTTGCCCAAGTAACATGCTTTAAAATATCACATGACGAAAGTTTCCAATATTGAGACTGACAGGGCTATGAAACATTTCCCAAACTCTGCCCCAAACCCACCTGCAGCCCCCTGCTGAGCCCCAGGACATCAGCACCAACAGAGCAGCCATGCACCTCGCCCTCCCAATGAATTGGCCTGCTCAGACCTCCATGTTTGCCCTAGCCCTTGCTCACAGAAAGCATATACCTGCAACACTTCGGATCTGTGGTTTTTTTCTTTTTTCTTCTTATTAAATTAAAAACAATTGGCTGTGGAGCAAAGCAGTGCTTTCAATTAAAAGGTTAACAGCAAGCCAATGACTGTACGCAGAGCTCAAATTGGATGCCCCAGATCCTGCTAACCAAACTAAAGCAAAACAACGCTCCGGTAAGCAGACAAGCAAAACTGTAGGCTGTTCAACTTTAAATTTAGCTCTGGCAGATCCTGGGGGAAGGGCAACCCAGCAGGCATCTGTCCTCTGCTATGGAGGGAGAGCAGTCAAACCAGAGATCTGTTTTACATGCATGTCTATACCTATCATCTGCATTTCATGTGTACAATTTCCTAAAAGTACTTTGTATGAGATAAAGGAGACCTCACTCTCAGACACAAAGTGGCTGTCCCAAAAGCAGCCAAAACTACAGATGATAATTGTGCAACAAAAATACAGCTCTGAAAAGAGACCTGCTGCTAACCCACCTGCAGGACGAATTATCTTCTGAAGCCACGTGCTGAACACCAGCACAGAGAACACTACTTCAGAAGCATACTGCTGTAGACTTGATATTTTGTTAGCTGGAGCTTCAGGGCAATTTGCAAGTAGAGACTATTGCCATGATCAGCAGTGAGATTACAAAAGTAAGATCTGCTCTGGTGAATCTGAAGATAGCTCCAGGCCTACAGTTCAGTGTGCCACACCTGCTAGCAAAGCATATATGTTAGCTGCACTCTCTCCTAAAAGGCCGAACACAGACATGGGGAAAGTGGAAAGGAAAAACCCTTTCTAGAGGACAACACACAAGCACTGTGAGAATCACATCAGCATCAGATTTAGGAATAAATCAAAAACAAAGGCAATGAAATGTCTCTGCTTTAATCACTTGGCCACAGAAGCTGCTGATAAGGAAATGCAACAAAACCTAGCGTCCAGGGCCGAGAAAGTCTACTTCAAGTCTAGAAAGACTAGAACTTGTGAGTTCAACATTAAAATAAATCCTCTACAGCTTTATACAGCACTACCGGCAAAACACCTCAGTCAAATATAAGGTTAACATCAGTTGGAAAATAGGTGGTTTCTACTATGTTGCTGCAGCAGTTACTGTGATTTCACTGACCCATCAGCAGAACCACCTTAATTTTAAACCACCTATCCAGCAGCTAAAAAAAAAACAAAACAAAAAAACCCATATAGATAAACTCATGCTTGAAACAAAGACACAGCACGATGAATGCTTTTTAAAAAATGGTGTCCTGCATAAATCATAAGCTTTGTATTGATTGCAAGCAAAGTTAATCAAACTGAAAAAGGTATAATGGGAGCAGAAAACATCTTCCTGGCCTTGAGGGCTCAAGTGAGGTTATTTCCACTGCAAAACACTAATGATCTGTGCATTATGGTCTGTTACAGCAATGCTTTGCTTATTGAACACTTACGTTGTTTGCTGCTTTAAAAAAAACAGAAACAAGAACAACACACTTGGCTATGCACCACAAGAATTAATGCCTGTTTTTCTAAAATGCTATTAATAAGGAAAGCTCTCACAGCTCTAATTGGGATTCAACATAGGCATTCCTCTCTGAGATGCTTCTTTTTCCATACCATTATTCATACTGCTGTTATTACTACTACATCCACCAAAGCGTCACACTGAAGTGTCTTCCAATAGATAACATAACCCTCAAAGCTTTCCATCAAGACTTATACCCTCTTTCATGGCTCAGGTAGAAGCCTGTTCTTTTGAATATTTGGGGCAAAAATAAAGAGCAGATGAACCAGCCAAAATTCACAAGAGGCAGAAAAGGGAGAGGACGCTGAAGCTGGTGGATTTTCTGCATTAACCTCTGCGAGAGGCTGGAGGGGCAAGTGTGCTCAGCAGGGACTTCCATTCAGCTGACAGCCTGAGCAACCATCACTGGAAGGCTCTTTTGAAAATCTTGGCTCTCAGTTTTTAAGGCAGGAGAAAATCAATTAATTTTGAGCTTTTAAAAGAATGCCTTTGCCGTGGTCAACCCTGGCCACACAGCTACAATGCATTTTGCAGAGATGCACTGCCTTTTCTTTCTATTCAGTGCAAAAGCACTTAATCTTGGTTATCAGCTCCCTGAAGGTCAGGTTTATTTCTTTGGATCTATTATGTGCTGTTTGAAATTTTCAGTTCCACCTTTCTGGCTATTATAGCTTCTTTCTCCAACTCCTATTCTTTTCATGGTAACTCCATATGATGACTGCTGATAAAGTTAGGAGGACCAGGATTTTAAATGCCTGACCTTCTTCAAAATCTGATAATGGATACAGTCTCTGAATCATAGGTCATCTCAATTTTGCTAATAAACCATTTATTTCCAGTGGCCTTCAAGGCCTTGAGGCTTTCTGCGCACTACAAAATGTATTCTTCAGGGAACAATAAAAGTAAGAGAGCCATCCTTTGCCATTGCTTAGAACACTACAGGGGATGCTGTGCTTTGGAGAGTGTGCCTGCCTACCACTACTTAAGTGCAATGGCACTTAAGTTCTTTGCTCCCATATACCATTTTCATATGTTTCTGCAAAACTTAAAGATAAAAACATCTAACAGGAACTGAACTCTTTAACTGCAATTTACATGGAGAAAATAAGAAAAATCCAAGCCTCCTTAGACCCTCCACATCTACTGAAGACTATCCAGCCACCTTTACTGTAGTCTGCATCTTCCCATGCCAAGTCTTACATCAGTATCTCCAACGTTATGCTGTTGTGGTAAGACCTGATTACGTTATGTTTGTAAAAGCTGCATCTGTGCCAAAGGACACAATTTGATGGCACAAGTGCCTGCCAGCCTCCTGCAATGGCCTCACTGAAACGGAGTTCTCAAAATGACTTGTTCTTTCAAGAACACAGCCTGAGGTATAATTGCTATTGAAGGTCAACACTTTGGACAAACTATAGAACAAGATGCAGAGGAATTCATATCGAACATGAATACTGCAGTGACTGGGACCTGAGTAGGAGGTGAACAGAGCAGTTTTACTTACTGTCAAAGCTTCTGTACTGCGCCGTTAGGATCGTCTGCACAGAGCGGCCGGCCTCTTTCATCATGGCTTCAAATTCACTTCGGCTTTTGTTTGCAAAGTTCTCTTCCATCTCGCTGGTGCAGCAGGTGTAGCCTTGTGGACAGATTCGCAGGTGCTCCCCTACAGTGAGAGAAAGCACAGCTGAGTGGCCAGCTCTGGAAAGGGAAGGATTTCACCCCAGATGACCTCAGCATAAAAACATTCTGACTTCCTGATAACCTGGCCTGCATTATGCATCTACTTGCTAATTGCAGTTATCCTACATTAGTTTAGCAGTTGGTCTGAACGCAGGTAGAGGTTTTCTCATCCTGAACTGTGATGGAAGGAAAAGTGAAGGCAATAAAATCCATGCACTGGGAAGGAAATTAGAAATACAAGTATCTCCCACCCCCTCTGCCTTAGACAGAACCTAGAAGACACGAAAGTCTCTCATGAAATGACACACTAATTGTCCTCATTAGACTTCACACATCTCTTAGGACAGCTGTGTGAAACTACTTTGCCAAAAAACAAAACCCAAAAAACCAGAAGGAATAACCCCTCAAGTCCTGTCCCTATCATGAGAAGGGATTTCTAGAACCAGAGAGATAAGATTAGGGAGAAGTTTTCAAAATACAGAGGTGTGCTGAAAACCGGTGGAACCTGGTTGGCTAATTATCCTCCACACATTTTGAAATTTGCCCATTTACTCTTTTTACAATGAAAAATCTTATCTTCCAGAAAGAAACACAGCCACCCCCCAAAAAGAGTTGCTATGACAGGCACTGGTTAAATATACCCTTTATAAGGGTATAAGGAACTATCTAACTATAAAGAACTATAAAACTATAAGGAAGGACAGGAAAGGTAAAATGACACAGATGTTAAATTGAATATTCTTCAGAATGGAAGTTTCTTCTGACCCTCCTCAATCTCTTCACTCTGGAGAAGCAACCATTTCCACAGGCAGACTCAGCAATATTTTGAAAACAGTTGCAGAAGCTCTTGAGAGTCCTCACAAACAAAGAGAGTCCACCTGAAAACACACCTCACACTTCTCCTTGCCCAGCAACAAGTGTTCATTTGAACAAAATCAAACATCATGGTTATTTCTTTTAAAGAATATAAAAAAACTTTTTACATTACAACTTAAATTGAGATAAACCAATTGCAAAGAACAAAAATTTATTGGGACTGCCAGTGATTTTGCTGGCAGTTTTATAGGACTGCTGTCTTAATGTCATAGCTTAGACAAATACTTAAAATCATGTTCTACCTTATGTGCATCAACAGCTGAACCTGCAGAGTCCCAGAGTTTCCCACTGAAGTCCTGAGTTATTTCCAGCCCAGAGCCCTTAGCAAATGCATACCTCAGGTTAAAGGGTCTTTAAAATTGGGCATGTGCCCTCCCCTTGTCAATGCCACATAATTAGCAGCCCAGAAGTCATTCTGACAGGAGAGCTCTGTACCTAATGCATTTGAGGCAGAAGCCATTCAGCAGCTTGCACTGGCTGGCACTGGGTTCCCTGCTGGCAGACAGCTCTGGAACGACCTGCAAGCAGGTGAGGTGAGATGGCTCAGGAACACTGAGGTTCCAGAGGAATGGGAGCAGGACAGAACCTGCTCTGCCCAGCTGTGGGGGAGAGCAGTCCCCATGAAGCGCCCAGAGCCGCACTGCTGGGCTGCGCCGCCTGCGGGTCTCACGGGCTGCAGGCCCAGTGCCATTGCTGCAGCTCCACACGGGTCGAGCAGCCTCACGTAGGAACCAAGAGAAGAGGCAAACACCAGCAGCGTGTGCTGCTGGGCTCAGCCTTCCTCTCGTGTATTTCCTTCCAGACAGCTGGAATTTTTTTACAAGGTGCAGCTTTGTTTCACGTCACAGCAAATTAAAATCTTCTTGCCCAGCCTCTTCTGCCTGATTTCTGCTTCCACAGTATATCTGAGGAGAATCAACATTTTATTCGCTGTTGTTTTACTGCTGCAAACGTTCTCCCACACTCCCATTACCGTCCCAAGGATGAAACGATCCCTGTCAGTGACCGGCTCTGCCAGGCCTGCTGGCTGGCAGCACCAAGGCTGGAAGGCTCAGCCTCAGCACCAACAACCCCTTAAGGTTTGGCAAGCCAAGGCCAGGCGGTGGGAACGGCCCTCCTGAGAGCCCCTTCTCCTGACCTGCCGCCAGCACATTGCTCCCAGCCTCAGCAATGGCTTCCTGCCCCTCTTCTCCAGGCTGCAGCGAACTCCAGCAGGAGCATGGGGCACCCGGAGCAGAGCCCCGCTCAGAACTGCGCCCACCAAGCCTGGAACCATGGGGAGCAAACACCGGGCTCCAGAAACAAAGGGAGAAAGCAGGAGGCCAGCAGCCTGGGGCCTCAACCTGGGGCTGCAGCCTGGGCAGAACCATGCCTGTCCTGGAGAAGGAGGCAGGTGCCCAAGGGGATGGGCACTGTGCTGCACCTTAGCTGCCCACCAGCAAGGAGGAGCAGCAAGATTTTGAGGTGTGCTAATTACAGCGTGACATGATTACAGTGCGACATGAGCAGACAAAATCCTCCCTGCTCCCACCCCAGCCTGAAGCGCTGGGTGTGTTTCGGCAGTGGCAGCGGTCCAGCACCGCTCTGCTAACAGAGCAGCACACAACCTGCGGCCAACGGGGAGCAGGGAAAGTGGGGGGAAAGGCAGAAAGGGAAAAGGCAAACTCGTAGCTAAAATTGCTTAATTTTACACAACTTAGGGAATCAAACTGATATATTTTTCCTTTTTTTAATGCTTAAATTCAGAGCAGCCTTAATTCCTTTTGATACAACATTCATATTAGCTTTCTACAGGAGGTATTTATAGGGTACTCAGCACCACAGCATTTTATCTCAGTGGGAAGCTAAGTTCTCCTCATTTGTCTTTGTACGCCTAACTTGGTGCGTACAAAAAAGTCTTACAGCTCTGCTAGAACGCTTCTCTTGCTTCGCTTTTTAACCTGACCCACCCTGGATTCGCTACTGTTATTTCAACATTTCTTTAAATTGATTTCAAAATAAACATACTCTAGACTGTATTTTTGTTTTCCCTGTATATCAAAGTTCATTTGTTTGCTAACTCAACATTATGTCATTGCTGACAGTGCACTATAAATACCTCTGGGTTCACTTGGCTGGAGATTATCTGCAGGTATCTATGGAGAGCTGAGATGTTCTACAAGCAGTAAATCTGCAAGACACAGTGCACTCTTCCTCTCTACTGCTGCATCAGAGAAATTTCCTGCTGTCTGCAGCTGACATGCTGCTCACCATTTGCTCCATAGCATGTGCTCCCAGGTTGGGAAAAGCTTTGCAGAAAGCAAAAGAACACAGCAGAAGCCAAACTGGCAGCAAACAGAGGCTGGCAGAAATCTTGAAGATAATTGATATACTCCACATATACTCAGACCAACTTAGTCAGGGCATGAGTGCCTGTAACTTAAAACCCAGACTTCTCTCATGGCTCCAGCCTTCAAATCGTGGCCCACTGCTACACAGCATGGCACAGAGGCACCCAGCTTGCATTGGATGCCACAGCTCATACCAGCTCTGCTCTGCTTTACGTATTCCACATTTAAGATGTGGCTGACTAAGTACAAGAAGAAGTACTTTGGGATGCCCAGCTTCTTCCTTGCAGAGCTATCTGTTTGCCCAAACCTTTAGCAACCAAAAATGTGTGGTTTAGTAAATGTCTCATGAAGAGTGGGCTGCCAAACCAGGCTGGGATATAACCCATGGACTTCACTGTCTCCTTGAAACAGAGACAGGGCAGAGCATGCATGAAAACAACACCAAATTCCTCACTTACAATGAGCAGCCCTGGAGTGGAGTAGAAAGGAATAGGCAGGAGGCTGAGGACAAGAAAATATCACACTGCCTGGCTACAGGCTTTGATTGTCCTTCAGATACCCTCTCAGCTGGCAGTGTTAGCAGAACGCTTTGGCTATCAAATTCATGACTCTGCCTGAGAGTGCCAACTATCAAATCACTTCACCTCTTGTGCCAGAGCCCCCAGGAAGAGCCCTGCCACACACACCCCTGACTCAGTGGGGCGCAGCCCCAGGCAGGCTGCCCTGCAGGAAGAACAGCAGGCCCGGGGGTCTAAAGGCAACACTGAGAGCTCTCAGCTCCCTTTAGCCATGGAAATAGTGCTATTTCTATTGCGCTCACATGATGCAGGAGATTGAATTTATCACAATTTTTGCAGAAGGTTGGGGGTTATTTGGATGTGTTAGAGTATCTAAATGCAAATTATTACGAAAATAAATTCTGGGAGGAATAATTTATTCCTGGCTGCGATAAATCCATCATGAGTCTTCCCTCTTATTTGTAATGCTCATCCCACCCATTCTCCAAACTGCTCCAGAAAACTCCTCTCACACTCCTAGACCCCTACTGCTCCATTCTGGTCCTCAGCACCTGCAGCCCAAAGCCCATTCTCAGAGGCTCCTTGGGGTCAGGTCGCAGACAGCTGGGCTTGCTGAAATCCCACACTGCTAAGAGCCCTCCTGCACACAGCCTGAGGAGGGCAGGGCACAGCCCTGGGGCTGGTGCAGCCAGGGAACACAGGAACACCTGGTAAGCTCCACTTCTCTCCTGCTGGCCTTGCTAGGCACCTAACAAACAGGCAGTGCAATGAAAGCAAATCCCTTCCTTGTGCCTCTCTGCTTCTCCTGCTTCAGGTGCTCCTGTCCTCACCTCTCTTCAAATACATGTGTTTGAAGAAAATACAATCCCCAGAGTGATTTAGAGCAAGCTGGTAAGTCACTGACAGCACAGCCTTTCACACTGGTACCATGAAACCCACTACCATGGTACCTTTGAAACCCAGTCTTGTGACATGTAACTCGCAGAGGAAAACCAGAGGAACCCAGAAACATGTGACGAGGACACAGCCTTGTGGCTGATCCTCCTAGGACAAGTTCCTCTTGCACTTCTCATTCCAGATATGCTGAGAAACATTAACTGCCAAGCTTCTTCCCAACACCTCTGCACCCAAGCACCTCTGTAAAGTGGAAGGGAGTAGCTGCTCTCACAGCAGCTGCCAGCATCAGGCTGAACTGAAACCCACACTGCTCTGTTAAGGGAGCACAACTCAGGATGTCTCCTGCTTTGCAGAGGCTGGTG